TAAGGTTTATGTGGGTGGTGAACGTGAGCTTGGAGTCAAAATAAACACCCAAGTCTTTAAAGTCAGTAATTGATTTTAGCGGGACATTCGAAAACAGTAAGAGGTACACTGAGAACAAAAACGCGTTGCAGGAATAAAAAAAATTTATTTGATTACCGTTTAAAAATGCTCGTTTTTAAATCAAGTGAAAAGTCTTAACAAAATGGATTTTTTCATTATACATACACTACGTATAACGGAAATATTCAAATTAAATACGCCCGTATTAAAATGAATCATTTTCACTGCACGGATGGCGTTTTGCGCGTCTCGGATGCTTTTTCATATGTAATTAAGAAAGCATATGTATACAAAGCATGCAAAGCGGTGGCAACGCATACATACATACATACCCTGCAGGGAAAGCTACTAGTTGTGAACTAGAATTCTACCGGTTTGCGTTTCAGCCCAACTAGTTCACATTCTATCCTTTTTGAATGTTAGCGACTGGTATTTTTAACATTGCGATGTCCTACGAGATGTCAATTGTCAGGCTATGCATCAGCATCTACTAGTATAAATACTAGTAGCATCATACCAGTTGATGAGATAGTCTGCCAATTCATGCCACGTGAAAAGCATAAGTGTGCCTTTTTGCTGGCGACGCTCCAGCAGTCACAATGGCCGGCACAGCAAAACACTCGCGTGGTAAGCCTGAGGTCCCTGGTTCAAATCCTGGCGCAGGAAAAGTTTTTTTATTTTCTATTTTTTATTTTATTTTTATTTTTTATACATTTATTTTTTGTTTAGGCTGTTTATTGTAATTTTTAAATTTAATAAAAAAAAATATTTTTGTTTAATTTCTTTGTTTTTATAGCACAAGCATTTCTTCCTAAATGTATTTTTGCAATGCAATTAGATGATCAAATTTGTTATTTATTTATAAATTGAATAAATTATTTTTGCTTACATTTATTTAACTTTAAAAATATTAACCACCTCCAAGCGGCCTCGAACCTGCAATTTCAGAACCAGAACCAGTAGTCTTCACGTGACGCCACAGCCGACATTTGTAAGAAAAGCAATTATAGTTGCGTTTTATTTTTGGCTTTGGCAATTCAAAGGCAG